AAAAAATGGAACACCTATTCATTCATACCTTAGAACAACTACTGTATGTATATAGTATCCAGGGGCCATTAACACTGTGATCTTTGCTACAGCCTTTTCCTTCAATGTTGAGTGATACCTTATACAAATTCAAGAGAATTTTGTATTCTGTTATTTTGAACAGACTCTAGACCACCATGTAGTATACAGTTCAATTGTTAAAAAATATAAAGGTTTTTTTATCATTTTAGAGATGATGAAGTACTTCGGTTTAATTTTGTCAAAAACAAAATTCTCTATCCCTTTGGAGTGAGGGTATTAGCATATTAAGGACTCATAAATATTATACTAAAAAGTTTCATTTGTTTGTTGCTCTACCATTTCCAAAATTTGTATGACCACAGAAGTCTTGTTTTTTAAATGCTTTTAAATTTTTCTATTAAATTAGGCTATGTGACCAAAAATAATAACTGTTTTATTGCATGACGTGTGAAAATAGCGACAGAAGGTTATAACCTTCCCCTGGGAATGTCACTCAACAGCAGACTGTTGACTCAACATGTTCAAGACTCAGCACCAACAACATTCCCCTTCAGACATGCGCGCATGCACTAAATTATAAATATTGCTTCATGTGTGCTTACCATACTCAGTTTTGCTAAATATGGATTCTTTTCTAGGTTTCTGGAATAGGAAAAGTTACAGAGAAAATGTTAATGGCTCTCGGGATCGTTACTTGCACAGAACTCTACCAACAGAGAGCGTTGCTTTCTCTGCTTTTCTCTGAGACGTCTTGGCGTTATTTTCTTCACATTGCACTGGGTCTAGGTTCAACAGACCTGGCAAGGTATCCGTAGAGTTAGTCAGCTTTCTATCATTTTCATTATGATTTATCAGTATCAGTTTGAACCTCTGAGATAAAGGCGATTTCGAAATGTTTTTTAAATTCATTTTGACTGGTTTAATTTAGCAACTGTCTTAGCTAAAGTTATCCGTTTGCCTATGGGAAAAAAAGAGATAATGTCTGGTTTCTATACATGGGCTTCAGCACTGAGGAGGATGAGTGAGAGGAATGATGGTTGCTTCTGTCCCCTTCCTGTCTCGTTCTGTTGCCACACTGTAAGAGATAGGTCGGTGTTGAGGTTGTTGATGAAAGACTGGTGGCTTCTATTGCACAGTTTATTCCTTAAGCAAGATTTAATGATACCTTGACATTCCTTAGCTGCAGCCCATTTAGTTTTCAGGTGTGTGAGTGAGTGCTGAGTTGTTGACTGTGGCGTAAGCACTGGAGATAGTGACAGTGGGTTGGACAAGGTCCTGCCTTGCTGGAGTTTACAACCAGTATGAGAAATAGAAAATGGCCAAAGAAACAGATGAAGGAAGAAAGGCGGGGGGGGGGGGGCATGAACAGGGACATCGGACGTCAGTGTGGGGTGACAAGGGTATCCGGAGTTGGAGGCCAGAAAGAGATGGCAGTGTAGACTGTGGTGACCGTTTGCACTGCATCCTAGGAGGTGAGACACCTAAGTAAAAGTCCTGTGCTTCTTTCTTCACTTTCTCATTTGGGCTTCTTGTGGACAAATAAAGAGAAGCAGAAGAGAAGAGTGGGAATTATACAAATCAGTCCTAGGCAGTGCGTTCATCACGATCTGTCCTGTTAGTGAACCTTCCAAAGACCTTATGATGTTGGGTTATCTGGGGAGAGGGTAGATAGATGTGGTTACAATTCTCCTACCCAAATGTTGGAATTAATTAGATACATCATGCCTGGCTTCCTTTATATATATTCCTATATAACTGCTAAAATTAAAGGTCAGCAATAAAATCATAGAGGATATGGATAAAATTAATTACAAAAACTGCTAAGTCTGATAATGAGTTAGAGGCTAGCCTAGGCTACACACATAGTGAGCCCCTGTCAGTCAGAGAGGAGGCGGGACAGCAATGCTGGCGGTAGGCATCATTCTCAAGTCCTGTGCTCTTTGTTCTCTTGAGGCCACAGTTAAAAGATTTTGATCTCAAGTGTGCATCATGGAAGATAAAATCACAACACTGTAAATGATCTAGTTTCTTACTTAATCCAAATAAGGTCATCTTTTTCCCCATTATACTTAAAGGTAATATAGTTTGCTACAATGTTGCAGTTGCTATTTTGTTGTATATAGAGGCCAGGAAGGCCTTTAGATGAAGAATGTACAGCTCATCTATGATATGCTGTGGCTGCCCCTCCCCACCTCAGCCTGTGTTCTCTGTTGCCCTGGTTAGGCTGGGTATTCTCGCTTTTGAACACACTGCCCTTTTAGTTGTTGTTGTTTGTTTGTTTGTTTACTTTTTGGTTCTTGTGATTTATTGAACTTCACATGTTTTAGGCATGTGCTCTACTACTGACCTACATGCATCTCTTTCTACTTATTATTTTGAAATAGAGTCTCACTTAAATTAACCAGGCGGTTTTGAACTTACTGTGTAGCCCAGGCTGACCTTGAACTTGTGGTCCTCTTGTCTCAGCTTCCCATATAACTGGGGTTATTTTTATAGAACTCTGCCATTAGGCCTGCCTTCTTCTACTTGATTGGTTTTGTTTTGTTTTTAGTTTTTGTACTGTTGGGACTCAAACCCAAGGCCTTGGTCATCTGAGGTGAGCTCTGTGACTGAGCTACCTCCTCAAGCCCTGTATTTACTCTCTGCTTGTTTATATCCACTGAGATGAGTCTTAGGACAAACACTGGGGATATCTCATTCACTATTCTCTGTGTGCTCGAGCAGTTTAGGCGTGGCACATCCATAAGTACTTGGACAATGGATAAAGCACATGTTACTTCAGTTTCTTTAGTTCAGTGGCCCCTAGTAGAGTAGCTAGAGTCCAGTCGAAGTAGCTGGTTTAGATTCTCGGTCATCGTCCTACTCTTAATGAGTCATGAGTGACCTGTAGGAGAGGAGTTGGTGTGCCAGCCCCCGAAGGAAGAAGCAGCACTGACTTATGTAGAGGAACATGCATGCTGTGGCTGACAGCTATTGGACTGCTGCCTCCTACGTTCATTCGTTGTATATTTTAGTATTCAGACTTCTAATAGAAGCAAGTTCTATACCTAGTTTTACTTTTGTTTTCTATATAGATATAGACTTGGTCCATGAACATGAAATCAGATTAGTTATCTTGTCTATTTATGTCACAGTGATGGTTTCATTTTTAGATTTAAAAGAAACCCTCAGTGGGTTTTGCAAGATATAATTTTTTAATGACATAGTTAAAGAGAATGTGGGGGAGGGGTGCTGTAGAGGTGGCTCGGCAGGTAACACTGGCCGCTGTTCTGGAGGACTTGGGTTCCACTCCTAGCACACCCATTTGGTGGCTCACAGATGGTGGCTCCAGTTTCTGGGGACACAGCGCTCTCTCCTGATGTCTGTGAACGCTGAACACATATGCTGCACAGACATACAGACATATACAGGCAAAACACCCACACACATAAAATTAGTTAGTTAGTTAAAACGGGTATATTAAATTCTCTTATTGACTAAAACCAACTCAGTTTTCTTTGTTCTAGAAATAAACCTTTTTTTTTCCTCTCATTTCAAGGGATGGAGAAAGGAAAAGTATGAGCGTTGAAAGGTAATATTTGTTGTTTTATCTAAATAAAAATAAAGTTAATGATGTATGATTCGGTGTATGTTAAACTATTTCAAGTTCATTTTTAGTAAAGTATCACTACAATAAAAAAGCATCACAGGTTTTGGCAGCTTATACTCCTAAGGTAAACTTAAACTCAACACACTGCCTTTGGTTGCTATACTCACAGTAGGACAACATGGTCAACATTTATATTTTTTAATACTGATGTTACTCTGGGATTTCTAATCTTCTTTATAAGACTAATTAAATGTTTATCTGACAATCCTAAGACATTACAGAGGGAGTTCCAGGAACTTTAGATATTGGCCAGTATCTGAGCAGAGGTTTTAAGTTACATGTTGAGAGCACGTCTGATCCAAATTTCTGAAGTCTGAAGTGTTCCAAAATCCCAAGACTTCTGAGTGATGAGATTCCGTGTTGCACGTGGGAGCTTCACCCCTCAGTTTAGGGGACGGGTCACAGTCAAACACAGGTCATTGGAATACCGTGTATAAGGTGTATACAAAACAAATTAAACCTGGGTCCCATCTGAGGACATCTCACTGTGCACAAACAGATATTACAAACAAATTATAAACAAAACACACCCCACTCCAAATCTTCCTTCTTAAGTGATTCAGATAAAGGACGGCACCTGAGGTAACACTGGTAAAGGAAAGCCTCGCAGGGCTCCTCAGCCTTCCTGATGCTGGGACCCTTTAGTACAGCTCCTCATGCTGTGGTGGCTCCAACCATTAAATTATTCATTCATTCTTCATAACTGTAAACTTGCTACTGTTATGAATTGCAATGTGAATATCTGTGTTTTCCGATGGGTCTCGGTAACCCCTGTGAAAGGCGTGCTCAACCTCCAAAGGGGTCACAACCCATAGGCTGAAAACAACTAGTGTTGGGCGCTTAGGATCTTGTTTGGAGTCACATGGAATCTTAATGGAACTTTGTTTAGGGAGAAATGTGTATATTTTAAAAGTTGATCAATTATTTCCTCAAAGTGTCAACATTCTGTTGAGACATATTAGAACCACTACCTGGTTTCCTTTTTTTTTTTTTTTTTTTTCTTTTATTGAGTACTCTCCTTGGATTTCTGAAAACTGCTTTAGGGGTATCAAGTTTGGTATGGAAGTAGGGAGGAAGGTCCCAGATTACAATCATGTATAAGAAGCGTCTCCAATATGGAAGAGCACACAATAGGAAAGCGCCAATATAGCAGTTGAAAATGAATGAGGGATGGACAGAGTGGTGCATGCCTTTAGTCCTAGCACTATGGAGAGAAAGATAGGCTCATCTCTGTGAACTCAGGGGCAGCTTGGTCTATACAGCAAGTTCTAGTCCAACTAGGGCTACAAAGGGAGACCGTGTCTTAAAAAGAGAGAGAGCATAAAATTGAGGGGTTTGCTGATCAATGTGCCTATACGAATGGCTTTTGATCACTCATACAGACATTTTTACTTAATTATGTGTTAGGTTATGTGAAAACTTTAATTTATGCCAAAGAAAATACAGTGCTAGGCTATTTGAATGTACTCTGTCATTACCAAGTTATTCAGCTGTAGTTTTACACTGTGCACAAACATCCTTCTTGTTTCTCCAGGACATTCAGTGAGATAAGTAAAACAGAGGAACAGTACAGCTTGTGCCAAGAACTGTGCACTGAGCTCGCCCACGATCTCCAGAAGGAAGGACTTAAGGTACTGGATTTTGATGGGAGTTTTAGTTTTTAGTTTTTGTTTTGTTTTTTTCATTATAGGTTACTACTCTAAGTGAAGAGAACACACATTTATTAAAGCTAGAGACAAATACAATAGACCATTCCTACTTCCCATCAATCAGAAACAAAGTGAGTCTGACATCTGTGTGAGAGCGGTGCTGAGGTCACTCCATGAAGGGCAGTTTGTGACATTGAAATGGCTCCAGGGTGATGAAGGGCAGCTTTGTACCCTTAACACTACAGTAGAGTCACATGCTAGATCATTGCTTCTACATGAGAGTCACACGCTAGATCATTGCTTCTACATGAGAGTCACACACTAGATCATTGCTTCTACATTAGAATTACATCCCAGGAGAGACAAAGGCAAAGGGAAGGCTTGTTCTACAACTGCGTCCTCTGATCATAAATCCTTTTCCAATCATCCTTGAAGGCTTTGCTCACCAAGACAGTGACCTTCTAGCACGGGAGCTGTATTTCAGGGCTCTAATCCTGGTTGCTAAACATACTGAGAACAGCATCCTGAAATGCTCTGAACTGCCAGGTTTGTAATCTTCCTTCAGAAGAGTCCACATTCAGTATTTCCTTAATCCCCTCAAGCCAGAGTTAGTTTTACAAAGTGTAATACAAAAGTATTAAAAGGTTACTGCAGAACATTGGAGCAATTTTACTTCTAACTCTTAGCTTGAGTATAAAATAGTTAATCTTTGAATTTTTGAATGCACTTTTAATTTTAGAATCATTTCAGATTTACAGGACTGCTTCCAAGAGAATATAGAGATTTCCATTATCCCTCTCACCCAGCTCCCTCAATTGTTAACATTTCATACCACCATAGATATTTGTCACACTAGAAAGGGACATCAGCACTTGCTATTAGCCAAGCTTCAGCCTGCCTTTGGCTTGCTCTTGTCTTCCTGACAATTTCTCTCCAGGATTCTCTCCAGGGACCCACATGGTGTGTCTCCTAAGGTTGCTCTGTGAGTTTTGTAACCTTCCCCTCTTTGTAAAACTGACAGTCTTGATAACCACTGATCATGTGCCCTATAGAACGCCACTGTCTCATTTGTCCCATGTCATAGGCTATAGATATTTAGAAAGACTAGAACGGAGGTGAAATGGCCTTCCCATCCTCTCCTGTGATGTCATCACCTAGTTAAGAGAATGTTTGACGGGCTCTGCTGCCTGAAGTTACTGATTCTCAGTCAGGAAATGAGTCAGGAGTTGATCTTACCCTCAAGTGAAACAGCTGCCAGTTACTTCCACATACACCAAGGAAATACTCAAATTCCTCCCCAACTGAAACCTCATGTCCTCAAGACACTAGCCATTAAGATGATCCTTATAGGTGTCTCACAGAGCACTCTGGCATGTGCTTGTCATGCAGTGAGTGTGGGTTGTTCATTCCCTGACTTTCAAAACCGAATTCCCTTAGGGGATGCACAGTAAAAGTAAAGGTAAATAGTTAACTTTGCCCTTCATATAAAAATCATTTTTAATTAGTGGAGGGGTGAAGAGTAATTATATGCTAACTGATATTTTCAGACATGGATTTTAATTTTGACAGTTTTCATGACCATGTTTTATAAACAGCTGGTTATAGTTTCGTATCCTTATAAACAAACAGGCTTCTTATACTTTTCTAACCTGCAAACAACCTTCTTCTACAAGTTCTGAAACTTTCCGTGTTAATGTGCTGCGTGTGTTGTAGGGAAGAACAGTTACCATTAAGCTGAAGAACGTGGATTTTGAAGTAAAAACTCGCGCATCCACAGTTCCCTGGGCCGTTTCTACTGCAGAAGAAATATTTGCCATTGCTAAGGAGCTGCTGAGGACAGAAGTTAATGCGGGTTCTCCACATCCTCTGCGGTTAAGACTGATGGGTAGGTAGGCCTTCTCTCTCTCTCTCTCTCTCTCTCTCTCTCTCTCTCTCTCTGCCCTATTTATTTCTTTATTTATATCCCCTTAAATGTTTAATACTGCCCCCTCCATAAAAAGAAAAACCATTCAACTTGGAAATCTTTCTCTCCCCTCCGTTTATTTCTAAAGCTGTTTAAGAGCTTCTTGGTCTGTGCCATCAGCTGTAGTTCCTAGAACCGGATGCACATACAGAATGGAATTTTCTTATCTTTATTTTTTCTGAAGTCCTTGAGGCATAATGTTTCAAGACTCAAAACATAACAGTCTTGAGAAACAAATCCAGGGCATTCTAATTGTATCCTGTAATTCTCTCTTGGGGATCTGGAACACCATGACATAATGAAACGTGGACATTTCTGTCACTAAACAACAACAGCAAGTTTGTTATTTAAGTTATGAGGACACTAAATAATAGCACTCCAATGTAGTCTTTATCACCTTGTGCTGTGGATTTTAGACATTTTGGATTTCAGAATTACAAGTCAAGATTACGACACTGTGAAACCACACTGCCAGCCACTATCTATTGGAAACAAATGAGGAAGCCAGGCTTCCAAGTGAACTGTAAGAGATTGTGCCAAGACGGCTCAGTAGTCTCACTTTCACACTTGGAGGTAGTGTACAGTGAGACCACTGCATGAAGTCTATTAAAAAGAGCCAAAGAGCGAGTGTCTATAGACACTCTCCTTGTAATTGCAAAACTTAGAAGCAAGCAAGATACAATTAAGTGGATTGATAAACTGTATGTCCAGACAACAGAATAAGGTTCAGCATATAAATGAGCTACAAAAGGACATGAGGGAAACTTAAGTAAATATTGTAAATATCAGTGTTGTATGATTGGCATCTTGAAAAAGGCAAAACCTTAGAGACAGTAAAGACAATATTGCCCAAGGAGAAAGATAAAGGCAGAGAGGATTTGGGGCTAATGAAACAACTATGTATTATAGAAGTAACTTTTATTCCCCTGATGTAACTGTCATCTCTGAGGCTTACTGCCTCCATCTGCTAACCTAGGCGTAGTCCCAGAAGCTTCTGGCCTCCATGTAATCTAACCTAGGCCTAGAATGTTTTCAGCCTCTGACACTGCTGAATAAGCTCACCCTTTCTAGTTCTTTCTCAACTCTGGCTGGCTGATTCAACTCAGCTGTTCTGACTCAAAACCTCTCCAAGCTGACTGATTAAATCTGTCTTCTGTCTTAGCCTCTGACTTTTTGCTCTGCTTGGCTTCAAACTAACTCTGGCAATCTATTCTAATCTGGTTCCTTCTCATTCTCTGACTCATTCTGTCTTCCCTGTGTCTAGCTTGTTCTCTTTCTGCAACCTGTCTTGGTAAAACTGCCTCCTCCCTATCTCTGCCCTGTCCCCTCTCATGTTGCCTCTTTGCTCTCTATTCTCATAAGAGTTGGGCATATCCTATTCTGTCAAATCTTTCTCTGATTCATCACTTTGTCTGCCACTCAGTTAGACATCACTTTCAAACGAGTGCTTCCTTCTACAAACTAACTTTACCTTCATTGTTTGGGATTACTGATGTGTACTAAGATATGTCTGTATTCCAGCCAGAGGGATTAAAGGTGTATGCTAAAAGTGTGCCTGTATTCTAGCCAGAGTAGCCATGTTGCTGGATTAAAATCCCTCTATAGTATACGATTCTATAATGGTGACTATGTGTCTTTATAACTACATCGAAACTCATAGAATGAAAATTACCAAGATTAAATTCTTAGGTAAACTATAGTGTTTGGATGATAGTGATATGTGTGTGTGTGTGTGTGTGTGTGTGTGTGTGTGTGTGTGAATGACAACAGATGATATGTGGGAATATTCTGTTCAATTGTTGTGTGAAAATGAAACACTCCTTAAAAAGTTAAGTGAAAAAGATCAGCACTGAAGAGTCTCTGTAGTTGACGCCAATTAATTACTTTCTACTTAATGGTATTGACAGTTCTATAATCATGCCAAACCCCAATAGACTAACACTGACTGATACTCAGTTTTATAAAGCAAAGTAAATTCTTCTTTATAATACCTGCCATGAAGCCAATGTCCTTTGATTTGAAAAATACTGGTCTGTGAATGTAGCTAAGTGGTAAATTATATGCCTAACATTCGAAAGACTATATACAGGTCCAAACCTTAGCACTTAAAAAGTGTGTGTTGTGTATGTACATCTCTAGTGGTGTTGTAGTAATTATTTAAAATCAGCCTCTGGTCAAGCGACTCTTTAAGCTGCAGAGGCTCTGCCTGTCTCAGCCACCGTGTTTCTCAGCCGGAGGCCACGTTAGCGCAGTAGCTAGAACCGACCAGCCAGAAACATCAGCCCTGCCACGCACGAGATGGCTCTGCCAATCTTCCATGCTGTCTCAGCAAGGTTGGGCATTGCCCAGACAATCCACCATCCATGTGGGCCCAGTAGAAAGATGAGACTCTAATGCTTAAAGATTAATCAAAGGCTTATATATTTGGTAAAGCTTAATAACCATATGCCCATATAAAGAGAGTTGTTTCCCAATTAACTAACCTAAATAAAAGTAGTTACCCACTCTGCTCTCCATACCTACATGGCTTTCCATCCTCCTACATCTCTGCTCTCCCTAGCTCCTCCTCTTCCTTTTTCCTCTTCCTCTCCTAACTCCTCCCACCTTAGCTCCTCCTACACAGTGGTACTTATTTCTCTGTAATTTACCTGTGCATACATGTCATAATAGTATTGTTTTCTGTGCTTTGTCCTTGTTGAGAGTGAATGTCTGTACAACTTGAGACTGACTGATTTTGGTCTCATTTAGGTGTCCGGATGTCTACTTTTTCCAATGAAGATGACAGGAAACACCAACAAAGGAGCATCATCGGCTTCTTACAAGCTGGAAACCATGCTTTGTCATCTACCGGGTGTATTCTAGACAAAACTGACAAAACTGAGCTTGTAAAGCCCTTAGAAATGTCTCATAAGAAGAGTTTCTTTGATAAAAAGCGATCAGAAAGAATCTCGAACTGTCAAGACACACCCAGATGTAAAATTTCAGGTCAGCCAACTTTCCAGACCTCAGAGACATCCCATGCATTTAAAAAGATGAGCGAGAGTTTTGAAACATCAGAGAATTCAAATGACTGTCAGACATTTATATGTCCAGTTTGCTTTAAGGAGCAAGAAGGTATCAGTCTGGAAGCCTTTAATGAACATGTAGATGCCTGTCTTGATGGACCATCAACCAGTGAGAACTCAGAAATGCCCTGTTACTCACGCGCTTCCTCTGCAGACATTGGTCACCACTCTATTCCACTCTGGGAGAAACGTGGACATGAAAATGGAGAGGTGGCTTCAGTAGATGGTGTAGATCTAACAGAGACTGAAGACAGATCACTGAAAGCAGCAAATATGGACACTCTCGGGAATAATCACAGCAAGGAGGAATATCCTGATATTCCAGACAAATCTTGTCCTGTATCATTGGCAAGTGAAACCGTCAGTATATTAAGTAGGCAAGAACCTGCCCAGCCCTATACAGATGAGGTAGTAACAGGACAACGAGCTCTAGTTTGTCCTGTTTGTAACCTAGAGCAAGAGACTTCTGATCTTACTGTCTTCAACATACATGTGGATATTTGCTTAAATAAAGGCATTATCCAAGAACTGAGAAATAGTGAAGTTAATTCGGTTAAGCAACCCAAAGAAAGCTCGAGAAGCACTGGTAAGCATGTAGTCGTTAAGGGGAAGAAAGGAGGCAGGCCAGTGGCTAGGAGCACTTGCAACTCTTGTGTATCTTCGTTTGGTCCCCAGAATGCACTTGATGGCTCACACCATTTGTAACTCCAGCGCCAGAGAGTTTAGTACCCTCTTTTGGCTTCTACAGGCATCACATACACACACACAAACACACACACACACACACACACACACACACACCATTAGTTTAATTAATATAACAATATTTTTAAAAATTAGTTTGGGATATGTATAATATCTTTAATCTGTTAGTTTTATCATTTCTGTGCAGCTTTTTAATGATTTTATCTTTTCCTTTGTGGAATTTCTTGACTTTTCTTTCCTCTGCAGACAGACTTCAGAAGACTTCGGGAAGGACTAAAAGGTATGATGATTGGCTTGAGCTTCAGTGAAGAGAGCTCATGGTTTGCCCTGAGCTTTTGGGGCTCAACTCTGCTTTCCTAAACTAACCAAGTAACATTTTAAAAGCTGTTTTTGCAGAATTCTTTTCAAATATTTCCTTCTACATAGAAATTATGTGTTCTTTCTCATTCCAGGCCAGGACTGAAGACGAAGGGCTCAGCATCAAAGAAAACAAAACCTCGAGATCCCAGACACACCCTTGATGGATTTTTTAAATGAACTTTGAACATTTTATCAACGTTTTTCATTGAAATTATTATTTTCATAATCAATGTATTTAATCTTCCTCATTTTAATATTCCCCTTTAAGGAAGACAAGTGCAATAATACCTCCCCCACATGACCTTTTTAAGAATGTAGACTGAATATTAACTTATTTCTTTTGTATTTTTCTTAATAACCATGACAATTTCATTCCCAATATATACATATATGTATAATGTATATGCATATGTTGGAAAGCAGTCGTGTTAGAGACAACTTAAGTGAGGTCAGAAGGCGATGGGTTATTTTATAATAAATATAAAATATTTACAAGGACTCTGAGCTGTGTGCAACCACCTCAGCATCAGCTCCTCAGTGCTTAGACCCCATGTTGCCACTGACGCTACTGTACCTGTATCTTAACAGAGAGAGCATGGCATGGCAGTTCCCTCCAGGAAAGTGATGCACAGTATTATCTGTCTTCAGAGGACCTGTTCAAACTGTTGTTATTTGTCTTGTCTTACTTATCTTATGAATAAGCACTTGGTTCACATAAAGAAATACTTAGTCTGTAACTCAAAATCATTTTTTTAACTCAGTACTTTAAATGGCAGTATTTCATTTCTTATCAATTATATTTGATTACAAATCTGCAGTAAAGAAGATAAGTTGTGTAGTTGCTTGGCTTTCATTCCTCTCTTTGGGAGAAAATAGACAACTCCAAGGATGAGCCCTGAGGAGTCACTGCACTTACCGTAGCTACTTCTCTGTCGTCTCTGCTAATAGTTGTGGAAGAAAGACTTGCAGCAGCACAGAGAGGCAGAGGCAGGAGGATCTCTGAATTCAAAGACAGCCTGGTCTACAGAGTGAGTTCCAGAAAGAACAGCCAGGACCCCATAGAGAAACCCTACCTCAAAAAAACAAAAAAGAAAAAAGGATTGAATCTTTTTTTATAGTTTTGCCTTTGCATATTTTAATGCATTTAATATAGACAGAGAAATATTTGAGGGATCTTAGGACTGACCTTATATGCCCCAATCTTAACCTGACTAATTTAATTATTTAATTGCTAGACTTTAGTTGCTTAAAAATGGGCTAAAAGCTTGCTAAGTACCTTACCTGACATTATACACCACAACAGTTCCAAAGCTATGGTGCTTTGGTTATTGATTGTGATTTACTTGTGTAAACTATTTATAAAATTAAATTCAATGAAACTGATTTAATGTATTGAAAAATAGGTATTACTGTATTTATTATTTTCTTCCATCTGAAGTTTATTTTTGTTGTTTCCATCATTAATAATAAATTATTTTCATGTAGATGCTACATTTAATTGAATGTCATATTTAATAATAATTTAATTTTTTTTTAAATTAAGAATTTTCTGATACATGCTGCTACATTACTTTTCTTCTCTTTCTCTTTCTCTTTCTCTTCCAACTTCTCCCATGTTCTCTCAATTTCTCTCAAATCTGTGACCTCTTTTTAAATATTGTTACATATATATTTATGTGTGTATGTGAGTATGTGTGTGTATGTATGTGTGAGTGTGTGTGTATGTGAGTGTGTGTATATGTGTATGAGTGTGTGTATGTATATGTGTGTGAGTGTGTGTGTGTGTCTATGTGTATGAGAGTGTGTGTGAGTGTGTGTGTGTGTGTGTGTATATGTGTGAGTATGTGTGTTTATGTATGTGAGGGTGTGTATATGTGTGTGAGGTGAGTGTGAGTGTATATGTGTGAGTGTGTATGTGTGAGTGTGTGTGTATGTGAGTGTGTGGTGAGTGTGTGTGTGTGTGTGTGTGCGTATGCACACATTGTTACACATATGACTACCTGCTGAGCTCATTTAGTGTAGCTCATATGTATTTGTGTTTAGGGCTGACTAAACCAGATGACTCACTGAGAAGCTTGTCCCTGGAAAAGACTGGTCACCCGATCTCAGCAGTCCTTAATTACCTGTAGCTCTTCATCTAGGAGTGGAGCCTTGTGAGAGTTCCCCCTTCCATGTTACCATGTTTAACTAGTGTTGTCGTTATGGGGGTCTTGTTTGAGTGACGATATTGCTGAGATTCTGTGGGTATAACTTCCTTGTCATATGCAGACAGCATCTGAGCAGACACCCCAGTCCTCGGGCTCTTACTGTCTTACCACCCCGTCTCCCACAGTGTTAGCTGAGCCTTAGTTGCAGGAGCTATGGCGTAGATGCCTCCTCTGGAGTCTTACATTCCCTTTGCAGTAGGAGAAAACAGAGCTCCTTAGAGAAGTGGCTGTTTCCTCACCAGACGTTCCTAAGCCAGGAAGGAAGCTGACCTCTCCAGTCCCCATGCAAGAGCCACATCTTTCAAATTCCTTTGCATGTCTTCTCAACTTTGAATCATACCGTACAAACCGTCCTCTTCACAGGCCATCTGCCACTGGGTTGTTGATAGACTGGCCCCTCTGCGCTTGCAGGTCACAGTTCATCTCTGAAGGAAGACTGGGCAGGAAGTCGCGGGCAAAGCCTGGATGTAGCACTGGAGAGGAACACTGGCTAACTTGCTCTCTGCTTGCTCCATGCCTAGCTTTCTCTACGTTCCTGACCTCTCTCTCTAATATTCCACCCTTGTTCTCTCTGCCGGGACTCCTCCCACGTCCTGTATTGTCTGTTTAGTATAGCCATGTTTAAAGCATTTGAAGCATCTTTAGAAAGCATAATGAAACTTAGAAGATAAATGAGGACCCATAACCTTAAAGAGTCAAATCATAGAACATGTTTGTGATACAGATACCTAGTATTGGTAGGGGAAGGCTAGTATCTGGAATATTAATTGATTCTTAAGACTCAGGAAGAAAAATAGTTTATATAAGGTGATACAAACGGGTTGAAATAGCATTTCACATAGAAGAAAACCTGAATAACCCAGAGCCATGAAAACAGTCATATTACTCATCTGGACACAAAATGAAACTACAAAGAAGTATTATTACATCCCTACTGTGTTAGCAAGAAGAAACAATACTGCTAAGTTTTAGACATGACTTAAACCCTTGTTTTGAGGATAATCACTTTGGAAAACAATGTGTTCTTTAGTCAGTTTAACAGATGAAGTGAGTAAAAACTAGAAACAAGTAAAAATGAAACTTCTTATGGTCAGTGTGTTTGCTGACATTTTTAAAGAAAGTTTATTTGTAGCTCACTTGCCTCCTTTTTAAATAAATCTACATTTTTCCAGAGTTCAGTAAAGTTCTGTCTGTAAAACTCAATACTATTCCTATAAAACAGTGATAACCAATTAAGAAATAGAATAAAAATAATCCTGTTTATCATGGGGCTCTGAGAAGGAAAAAATGTTCAAGGATTTGAGAACGTCACAGTATTGGAAGATAAATAGTACAAGTGAATAAATGAAATCATCTTATTGGCGAACAGGAAGAATGACTATGTAAAATTAATCTCCCACACACTAGTTATGCTGTTATATACTACAAAATTCAAAACCCCTTAGAAATTGGTAAATAAAGACAGGATTGGTGGCACACACTTTAATTCCAACGTTCAGGAGGCATAGGCAGGAAGATCTCTGAGTTCAAGGCCAGGCTAGTGAGACCCTGTCTCAAGAAGAGATAAGTAGATGCTAGATTTTTTGTAGCAATTAATGAAATATTAACAGTAGTGCTGATAATGGACACTTTGGATAACCCAGTGAGAAAAGTATTGACTATTAAGTAAATGGCCCTTCTGTGGTTAATAACTCAGAGAGAAAGTGAAATTTAGTGGAGTCTAACTGCTGGGAGTCCCTAGACAACCCTCTGATTATTTGCTAGAAGGACTAGTAGAACTGAGAAAAGCTACAACCCTGGTTATAGTCGATAAGAGTGAAAAGATAAAAATTAATAAGCAAAGAGGCCAGATATAACTCAGAAGTAGGATGTGGTTCTATAAACGTAGGATCCGAGGTTTGATACAGAGCACAGTATGGGGTTGAGGTCAACAGTCCCTGCTTCCAGGGGAGGCATGTGAGGTGTACACAACTCTCCCGTAAGTACTGTATGCCAGCATGCAAAATACCACCAGCCAAGACACCGTGCCCAACTCTTGCCACCCAGGGTTTTTCCTGGAAGTCTGTGATAGGCATTTCTTTCATCCCAACTACTAAGCCTTAAACCTTCCAGAGAGCTACCAGTCCAAGGCCTCAGTCTTTCAAAGTCATGCATTCATCTTAAGCAAGTTGATAATATATGCTATCTTTTCAAACTAATACAATGTGGCCCAGTGCTTTGGACATGAAACATTCTTATCAGGCTTCTAAAGGCCAAGGACTCAGAAGCTGGTTCTTTTGAAGAGAGAGGTCTTTCTTTGCAAAATGTAGGAGTTGAGCAACCTGAATCTGCCAAGGTAACCCTCATAGTTTTCTTGCAAAATAAATGTCCATCAGAACTGTATTTGAATAAAGAAAAGATAAGAATCACTCAGGGTAACATTTCTTTCTGCCTTTTTTTTTTAAAGCAAAAAAAAAAAAATCTGAACTCTTAACATTTCAAGGGAGTCTGGCCTATTCACTTGTGGCAAACAGGCCTAGTGATTGCATGCTTGTACAACGGTCTCTTCCATGAAAGGCAAAGATGTCTTAGTATGTCCTTTTCATTGTTCTGGTAATTTATGGCTAGACATCTTGCCTCAGCCTTCTGTGATAATAGAAGATTATGAGAAGTCATTTGTAAATCCAGACCCTTCTCACAGAGTACTTTGGGATTTAGCATTTAGCATGGGATTGTAAGAAGCAACCTTCAAAAGAGGTTTCCATACTGACAAGGTAAAAGTCATTATCTTAGTTAGGGTTTTACTGCTGTGAACAGACACCATGACCAAGGCAACTCTTATAATGACAACATTTAATTGGGGCTGGCTTATAGGTTCAGAGGTTCAGTCCATCATCTAGGTGGGAGCATGGCAGCATCCAGGCAGGCATGGTGCAGGCAGAACTGAGAGTTTTACACCTTCATCTGAAGGCTGCTAGCAGATACTGACTTCAGGCAGCTAGGATGTGGGTCTTGAAGCCTACACCCACAGTGACACACCTACTCCAACAAGGTCACACCTACTTCCAACAGGGCCACACCTAATAGTGCCACTCCCTGGGCCGAGCATATACAAACCATCATAGTAATGCTGACTTCAAAGTACACACTTAAGAATCATGCAGACTTATACCCAGAAGATGCTCCAATATATAACAAGGACATATGCTCCACTATGTTCATAGCAGCCTTATTTATAATAGCCAGAAGCTGGAAAGAGCCCAGATGTCCTTCAACAGAGGAATGGATACCAAAAAATGTGGCACATTTACACAATGGAGTATTACTCAGCTATTAAAAACAATGAATTTGAGAAATTCTTAGGTAAATGGATGGAACTAGAAAATATCATCCTAAGTGAGGTAACCCAATCACAAAAGAACATACATGGTATTCACTCACTGATAAGTGGATATTAACCCAAAAGCTTGAAATAGCCAAGATTCAACTCACAGACCACATGAAGTTCATGAAGAAAGAAAACCAAATGTAGGTGCTTTGGTCCTTCTTAGAAGGAGTAACAAAATACTCAAGGAAGCAAATATGGAGACAAAGTGTGGGACAGAAACTGAAGGATGGGCTTTCTGGAGACCATTCCACCTGGGTATCCATCCCATGTGCAGTCACCAAAGGTAGACGCTGATGTGGATGCCAGGAAGTGCATGCTGACAGGCGCCTGATATAGCTGTGTCCTTAGAGGTCGGCCAGAGTCTGACATATTCAGAGGTGGATGCTCACAGCTAACTATTGATCTGATCAAGGGGTTCCCAATGGAGGAGTTAAGAGAGAAGAATGAAGGAGCTGAAAGAGTTTGTGGCCCCATGAGGAGAGCAACAATACCAACCAACCAGAGCCCCCAGGGTCTAAACCACCAGCCTGGGAGCACATAGGGAGGGACCCATGACTACAGCTGTATATGTAAGGGAGGATGTCCTGTCAGGTTATAGGTGAGAGAGGAGATCCTTGGTCCCATGAAGGCTGGACACTGTGTGTGGGGAAATTCAAGGGTGGGGAAGTGGGGGGGGGAACATCCTCATAGAAGCAGGAGGAGGGGAGATGGGATGGGGGGGGTCCCTGGGGGGGGATAGGGTAAGGGGATAACATCTGAAATGTAAATAAAATATCCAATAAAAAAAATTAAAAAAAAAAAAGAATCATGCAGACGGGGCTGAGAAGATGTGCTACTGGTCAAAGTGTTTGCCAGGACAGTGCAAGGATCAGAGTTGGGTCCTCAGAACTTCAGGGCTAGGGAGGCCTGGTGTCCTGCCTATAATTCCAGCCTCAGAAGGTCAGATACAGGAGCTCTGACTAGCAAGACTAACCATGTCCTGTGAGCCCAGGGTTGAGGGACCCTGCCTCAATGAATAAGGAGGGAACACAATTCAGGATGATGTCTGGCATCAACTTCAGCCTCTGCGTGCATGTGCATGAGGAAAACGTATGTGCGCATACACACACACACACACAAACATACACGTGCGCACACGCACGTACCACGTACTTGACAATAGGGGGTGGAGGTAATCAAAATTGTTTTAAATCTCATAACATTTTAAGTATTTTGTGATTGGAGGCTAGGACACTTTTATTCATAGCCGTTCTTAGATACATGTAGCTGCCTGGTCAACCTGTTAGGAGAGAAATTAAGATTTCTGAACTGAACACTGACCACTGTTCTCTGGCTGGACTGTGTTCCACATTTATTTGAGAAACAGGTCGTAACCCTGGTACTATTGTAAGGACTGGAGGTACAGCAGGGGGAACCTGAGGGACCTCCTGTCTTTGGAATGTTTAATGTTAGATACATTCTAAACAGTACTTGTTATATCCGGACAAGCACCAAACAGGGAAGAATAACATGAGAAAGTAAAGAGGACAGAGGAGAGTTTTCAATAATATTGTCAAATAGAGTGTTCAGAGCGGGTTCCTCTAAGGAAGTGACAGTCAGTCCATGGGGATAGGGAAGAGAGGGTTCTGTGGAGAGAGCTGGAAACTGAATGCCCTGCAGCAGGAGGTATCAAAGGAGCAACAGGAAGGGGAAGAGCCCCACCCCATACACTCCCCACTCCCTGCAAGGTGTCTGGCACATCAGGACGCTGAGATAGGGCTGGAGAGATGGCTCAGTGGTTAAGAGCACTGACTGCACTTCCAGAGGTCCTGAGTTCAAATCCCAGCAACCACATGGTGGCTCACAACCATCTGTAATGAGATCTGATGCCCTCTTCTGGTGTGTCTGAAGACAGCTACAGTGTAGTCATATATAATAAATAAATAAGTCTTAAAAAAAAAAAGAACACTGAGATAATTCATTTGCAATTTGAAAAAAAAAATCACATTGAATGCTTTATAGCTTCCCTCTTGTCCGAGCTCTAGATCGGGTCGGGCCTTCAGTCTTTTGTTAGAGCAGGCCTAGCCTCACTACATTTCTGTAGTTCTCAACCTACAGACTGTAGTTCTCCACCTGTGGGCCGCATATCAGGTATTTATATTATGATTCATAACAGTAGCACAATTATAGTTATGAAGTACCAAAGAAGTAATTTTCTGGTTAGGAGTCACCACGACATGAACAACTGTGTTAAGGGGTCACAGCATTAGGAAGGCTGAGAATCACTCGTGCAGAGCATAAAAATCACAACGCTTCTTATCTTGTCGAGAGCTCTAACAATGAGAATGCTCAACTGGGAGTTTGGAAGCAATTTGTGTGCTGTGACTTGTTAGGATAACACGGCTCAGAGTTCTGTGGAGTTGGTCTGATTTCCACTGTTAAGATGCTGGCACTTTTTCACTGTACATTTTCATTTGGTGTTTGGAATTTTATTTATATCATTTTGAGTCCCATTTTCCACTCACATATTATACTTTGCATGGTAGCCCTGCCTTATATGTCTACCAGTATTCGTTACAGTATACTTGCTATTGTTTTGATCATAATACCCTACTATAAAAATTAGGCCTATTTGTTTTTGTTTTTGTTATTTTTAAAGTTCTAAATGATGCACTGCTTGAGACATTCGTCATGTTTGGTTTTTTCCTTGATAAACTGAGAAACATTGATTTGAATTTAATACTTAAAATTTGGTGCACAGTAATTAGAAAGCAAAGCAAGCTTAAAAGTACATCGATAGCGCCGAGCGGTGGTGGCGCACGCCTTTAATCCCAGCACTTGGGAGGCAGAGGCAGGCGGATTTCTGAGTTTGAGGCCAGCCTGGTCTACAGAGTGAGTTCCAGGACAGCCAGGGCTACACAGAGAAACCCTGTCTCGAAAAACAAAAAAACAAAAAAAAAAGTACACCGATATCATTGTTAACATGTATGTGTGTACCATGGAGGTCAGAAGCTGGAGTGTAAGTGCTCTTAATCACTGAGCCATCTTCCCAGCCCTAATATAAATATAATTTATATTAAAATGAAACACCTCATCAATTCACAATAGAAAATTAAAGTCATATTACCTCTTTTATTTGAAGTTTATTTGAAGATTCAGGATTTTTTGGACTTGTTTTTGTATTATTTTAGTTTCTAACAGACCAACCAAGAAAGCTGATTATTTCATGATTATCAAATGAGAAATTTAGGGTTTTTTTTTCCAAGGAGGAAAGTCTGGAATCCCAGCTAGGAAGTATTTAATATTGAATTTCCAGTAATGAGTACTGACTATAAATCAAACCCAGGCATTTTTAAATTGTACAAAGAACTGATAGAGCATGGGCTGAGCGTTTCAGAGGGCTTGTAGATTTCTAGAAATGTTTCCTTTGTGTAGAGCCAACCCCTAGTACCTGGCATGCCACACCTAAAGGTGGACACCGCAGACCAGCCCAAGCCAGGGAAGGGCTGGAGAACCAAGGGCCTGTGCCTAGCCACGGGCTCCAAAGAGAGCAGACTCAGTTCTGTGCTTCTGCAGGGTGCATTTGCAGTCCAGCTCTGCGCCTTAGTGGGGATTCCACAGCAAGGGTGACCATGAACCCTGAGAGTGGCCAGGGCCACGGAGCGAGGGCTCCATTGCTCCAGGCGGCCAGGGACCTGAAGGCCAACCTGAGGGATGCAGCCACCAGGTCCTGGAGGAGCCTGGCCAGGATGCCGAAGCCCGAGGTGCAGGACCCAGAGGCAGCAGCTGCAGGACATGAAGGCTGTGAGTCCTGGGACAAGGTCGATGGGCAGAGGGTGGGCTCAGGCAGAGAAACTAGAGGAGTACTCACTACGGCCTGGAAGGATACAGGTGACTAGTAACACTCGGGATGTCCTCCAACACTGCCCCCCTTGCTGGCAGGTTTTCAATTTTGACGATCACCCCACTGAGTGTTGATCCACACCCTATACTGTGAATAGGAGGGTCACTTTCCAAGCTAAGGAGGAGACTGTTTAAAGAAATGAGTAAGCCCTTGTTCAAATAAGAAAAGAATTCTTTATGCCTTTGACTTAAATCACGATTTGTGCTCAGATTTATTTGTGGGACTTTAAGTCACTTTGTTTGTGCTTAAGTTTCTAAAGCATGGGGAATAGATCAGCTATGCCTTGGGAATAATAGCATAAACCGAGGCTACACTGAGGAAGTCTTCAGGAGTTGAAATCAAAGGACACATGTCTTTTAACGGCACACCATGGGCTCACGGTAGATGAGCTCTTTCCTGAAGCCCCAGCCTTGGCAACTGTATATCGTTTCCTTAGTATATTTGCAAGATTTGTTTCAGGTATAGGAATGCAGAGGATAAGGCATCTCCTGTGTCTGTGGAACTCGATTTTTCTTGTGGAGGAGGCTGATGGATCTTAAACAAGAAAGTTACAGAGGTACCTGGGCACAGGAGGACGTTAGGTCAGGATATATACAGAGCCTGTTTGGGAAGGTACTCAAATGAGAGGAAACAACCAGCCATCGGAGGTTCAAGTAGAAACCACCGCAAGCAAGAGCTAGGCAGATGCAGACATGAAGTCCCTATGTTTAAAATGAGGAGGATGCCCAGCCACTGAGGATAACGGTGCATGAAGCTGAGAGCTACTGAGATTGGGGAGGATTAGACTTTGGATGATGAATGTCTCCTAAGAGTTGAAAACTCTGCACTAGCTGAAACTAGTGAGTCTTTAGTGGGTGGGATTAGTGGAAGGAAGTTTTCATATTACTGAGGAACAATCACACAGAAGATTTCATGACTGATCCATTTCCTTTCTAGTAGCTTCTCCACATATATCCACTGTGCTCTCTTGTGCTGCCACTGCCACCCCTCCCCCACCCACCCCCGAAACCCGGCTAAGTGGGCATGGAATGAGATCTCTGAAAGTCTGAGCCAAAGTAACCCTTTTCTCATTCTGTGTCGGTTGTCTCGGGCATTTTTGCAAATACTGAACAGTAGCTAGAACAAGCTCAATTCCCCCAAGAAAGAAGCTTTTAAGAAACAAACTTAGTATTGCCTTTTTCTCGATTTCAGATATTTAAATAAATCAATGTGCATTGGTATGGCACTGGCGGCCTTAATTTGTGTTTGCCTCATGTTCGTGGTAACATATTTTATCACCTTGGCTTCTCTTGTTCTCTTGAAGTCTTTCCTCTGTATCTAAATTGGGCTGTTGAACATTGAGAGCTAAATACTCTGGGTGTATTTCATTTGTCAGAAATACTATTCACAACCATAACAACCTGCTCTGCAGCACGTCTTGGTCCTTGATGGTACTTCCCATAAGAGTGCAAGCTTTACGTTTTGACGAAATTCAGTTTATGAACTTTTTTTTTTCATTTGCAGCCGTACTATTGTTGCACGTGTTAAAAATCTTTTTGAACCACAGACTATGAAATTTTTCTCATGTATTTTCTTCTAAAAGTTATAGTTGTGTGCTTTTCATTTACATAGTCAGTCCATTCAATATATAAAGTTACATATAAGATATATATGTGTAAGATATAAAGTTTATATCAGGTTTCAATATAGTGCCCAAATATTTAAATGCCATTTGTTGAAATGATTATCCACTCTCTGTTGTCAAAACTTACAAACATTTGTAAAAAAAATAACTGATACTGTGTGTGTGTGGTTTTTTTTAGGCTGTATATTTTATTCTGTTGGTGTGTATGTCCCTCTATATGTTAAACACCCTACTTATGCAATTCTTGCACATTACTGTACAGTTACTATACACTAAAATTAAGTAATGTGGCTCTTCCAACAAAATTGATTTGGTCTCTCAGAATTGTCTTTGCTTTTATATATTTTTAATGAACTTGTTAATAGCACAATATGTGTTGGGGGTTAGTTATGATGCTTTGATTGGAAATCTGCAGGAGAACACTAAAGGTCCTATTCCCCAATTGGTTCTTGATTGGTCAATAAAGATGCTAGTGGCCAATGAGTTGGGCGGAATAGTTGAGACTTCCAGATTCCTGCAGGCAGGCTAGCAGGCACAGGAGAGGAAAAAAGGTTTTGCCACACTTCGGAGGGACCACCAGCCACCAGCCATGTGAGATCTAGGGTGGAGTGGCCATTGGCCACTGACTGGGCCTAGGGTAGCAGGCAGGAGGTTAGAAAGGCAACTAAGGGCAGATTTAGGTGTTGAGCTGAAACTAAAGGTAACTGAGCAACTGAGCTGAGAATGGAGTCAGAGGTGCTGAGCTGGGAGTGAAGAGAACAGGACAGCAGAGAGAGGCTTAGAAGAGTCTACCCATGGAGCTAAAACCTATAAAAATAAGTTAATGTCTGTGTGTGTCTTTTATCTGCGGATCCAAGGGAACCTAGGCAGGGCTAGTAGTGTGGTCTGCCCAGAGCTTAAAGCAGGGTAGTAGGAACTACACGCTACAAATATGTTTGTGTGACATTTTATTGAAATTACATTAAACCAATAGACACATTTTGGGACAGTCAACAGCTTATAATCTTCACTTTTCCAACCCAGGGACTTACTATATCTTCCCATGATTTAGTCTTTGAGGTCTTTGACAACCTCTTCTTCTTTTTTTTTTTCTTTTTTAAAGATTTGATTTATTATTTTATGCAGTTGAGTGTTTTGCCTGAATGTATGTATGTGCAGCATTGTTTATGCCTCATGTGCATGAAGATCAGAAAAGGACTTGGGGTCCACTGGGGTTGGAGTTATAGATGGTTGCAAGCTGCCATATAAATGCTGGGATTTGAACCTAGGTCCTCTGCAAGAGAAGCAAGTGTTCTTAACCTCTGAGTCAGCTCTCCACCCCAATATTGTTTTGGTATAGAGAAACTGTATATGTTTTGTTGCCTTTATATGTAAGTATTTTGGTTTCTAATCAGTTGTAAATAGTGCTTTGGAAATTTTAGTTTTCATTTGCCAATATGCAGAAATATGAATGATAGTTATGTGCTGATCTTGTATTCAGAAAACTTGCTAAACCTAGTTGCTGGTTCTAGAGCTGCAATGTACGTTGCTTGAGATTTTATATGTTAATAACCAAGTGGTCTGAGGGCAGACCAGACAAGTTGTCCTTTCTATCTGCCTGTCTCTTCACTTACTGTACCAACTGTAACTTTCAGCATAACATGCAAATGAAGAGATAAGAGTGAAAATCCCTTTTTATTCTTAATCTTAGGAACAAAAGAAGTCCAGATTTTAAAAACTAAGTATGATGTTGGTTGTCAGATTTTGTGGCTGGCCTTTCAAAATGAGGAAATTCTCTTCTATTTGCAGTTAACCAAGGGAGGTGGTTTTTTTTGGGGGGGGGGAGGGGGAAGACAGTTGTTTGTTTTTTGTTTTCATTTCTTTTATAAGTGTATTTAGTGTGTAGGTATGTGTGTGTGCAGGTGTATGTGCGCATGTGTATGGTGTGTGCACGTGTGTGTGTGTGTGTGTGTGTGTGTGTGTGTGTATTGAAGGTGATGTGATGGTGGCACATGTATGCTACAGTGTGCATGTAGAGCTAAGAGGACAGCTTTGTGGAGTCCCTTCTCTTCTCCTAAGAGGAACCAAACCCAGGTCCTCTACAGGAACAATCAGTGCCCATCACTGCTGAGCAATCTTTCCAGTCCGGCTCTTTTCCTTTTCATTCAGTTCAAAATATTTTGTTAAATGTCTGCTGTTAATTCTTAACTTCAATTTTGATTTCATTTCCCCATGCCTGGGATTGTTTCTTGAGAACCCTCTACCTCCCTTGAAGCCTGTCTATACTAGTTAGTTAATAAAGTCTACTATGTTTGTGTGTGTGTGTGTGTGTGTGTGTGTGTGTGTGTGAGAGAGAGAGAGAGAGAGAGAGAGAGAGAGAGAGAGAATGTGTGTGATGTCATGTTCACAGTAGATGTGAATCCAATTTTATGTCCTTTCCTATAAATGAAAATAAAACCTGTTCATTCCTCTTGTCCTTTATCTAGGACTTGACAGTGAGCTCATGTCAAGGTTTTGTTCCCACAGGTCTGGCACTGAATCTGAGTTTTGTAGATAGATGTTTTGTCTTTGTAAGATTCATGTTCCTTTCAGTCTCATCTCATCCCCTGGGAGGCCATGCTGCTGCAGCCCTCTGACCTGCTATGCTGACAGCAAACTGTGGGGTGAGGGGTGGGGTGGGAAACTCTTCTTGAGCAGTGCTTTGTTTGAGACCAGGGACATTTTGAGGGTGTGAAAACACTCGCCATGTGAAGAGATGGTGGAATGCAGTATACTGGCTTAGTAAAAGAGTCACGGAAATACACAGTCCTCAGCGGCACAGCAGGAAAGTCTCAGGGTTGCCATTCCAACTGTTCAGAGTGCAAAGCTGTCACGTGAAATGTGACAGACAACTGCGGCCTCCTTCACAACCCAGGGTCATGCTCGCTGTCTTTCTTCCAGTGCTGCCAATCGAGAAAAGCTTTCAGAATGCTGCTAAAAGCAATAATTTGGATCTCATGGAGAAGCTGTTTGAAAAGAAGGTGAACATTAATGCTGTGAACAATGTGAGTAGAAGTCACAAGTTTGACAAGTGACTCCTCCACGTGATGGCTTGGGAGTCCGAAGGTCAACTGAAATCATAGGGACAAGGCTGGCTGAGGTGTGAGGGTCTACTGAGGGCGTTCAAGAGAAAAGTGGAATGAGGCAGCAGAGCAGGCTCCCAGCGTTTTCTCTAGGAGAAGGAAGTGTGCAGGGTCTTATGTGTATCCTTGCCAAGTCTGTGGGTAGGCAGGCAAGTCCACCACTGGGATGTCAGCCGTAGACTTGGTCCTAGATTATATCCTGTGAATCAGTTCAGCAGTCTTGCCCATTCTGGAAAGTCAGGCTATGCTTTGCTGTAACATCTGGGCTTTTTTTTTTTTTTTTCCTCTCTGTGATACCCAACATGGTTAGGGTTTTCAGGATTTAAAATCCAAAGAAGTATGTGGATTTTCATCTTACTGCTTTTTGAAATGGAAAGCATCCACATGTTTGGGTAGTGAACTCTGGCTTTTGTTCTTCAAGTACCTAGGCTCTGGGGGAGAAATCCTCTGCCAGAAAAGTGGAATCCAGTTGCTTGTCTTGGTGGGGAGTTCCTTCAAGGCACAGTTAATCATCATGAACGGGCTGGGAGGTAGACACTTGCTTAGGATGAACTGTAGAGTGCTCTGAGGTCACAAAGGCAAAGGTGGATTTAATGCTAAATAAAACACAAGCCTCAGGGTCCCTGCCTCTCCACGCCCTTTCCAGGGCACTGGGAGAGCTTTCACAACATTGCCCAGGGTTATATGATTTTCATAAGAGCTGAAAAAATGAAAACATTATAACAGCAACAAATTATACATTTCTGATTTGAGCTTTAAAAAGATCTCCCCAAGTCGCAGGAAATAGCTCTGTCAGTAAAGTGTTGGTCACACAGCATGGAGACATGAGCTAGCACAAAGAGAAAAAGCCAGGCTTGGTGGCACAAGTTCATAGCCAACCCCCATGCTGAGGAGGTAGAGACTGAAGCTCTCTGGCTAGCCAGTCTATCCTGATTGGCAAGCCTCAGGTCCCACTGAAAAATGCTTCAAAAATCAAAGTAGACGACTACTGAGAAACAACGCCTGGGTTGACTTCTAGCCTCCACATGAGTAAGTGTAAGTACAGGGCTCCCTAAATAGATGTCACAAAAATCCCTAAACTCGTATGTTACAAAATCTGTACCTATCTGTCCCAGACTGGAAGGTCATGACAACAAACTGCATAGTCTAAGTCGTGCAACACACGCAACAGAATGATCTTTAGCAGTTGTGTGGGGAAACATGAGTACATGTGCTGGAGTATGTGCTCATGTGTGCACTTATTGGAATTTATATGTCCATACATGTAATTCATATTTATGTGCATTTTGACATATATGACATATACAATATATATTATTCCTAATTCTACTAATATAGTCTATATAACATAGTCTATATAAAATAGTCTATATAATATATTTTATATTATATATAACTGTATATATATATATATAACTATGTAACTTATAACTACATATATATCCAGAAAAAATTATAGCATAACAATTCTAGGATCAAAAATATAGAGAAGAAGGGGAGGAAAGAAAAGATAAGAGCTGGTTGGGGCTGGAGAGATGGGCTCGGCTGTTAAGACCACTGGCTGCTTTTGCAGAGGAGCTTGGTTAGATTCCTAGAACCTACGTATCAACTCACAACCGTCTGTAACTCCAGTTCCAGGAGATTAAACACCCTCTCCTGGCTTCTGTGAACATGCACAGAGACAGAGGCAGAGGGATCTCTTGAGCTTGAGGCTAACCTGGTCTACATAGTGAGTTCCAGGCCAGCCAGAGCTCTAAAAATGAAAAGAAAACTAAAGAAAAGACGCTGGCATGTAAAAACAAACAAAACACCCCTTGAAAATAGTTATTTGCTAAATTGCAGATACTTATCTTTCTTATTTTTTTTGTTTTTTGTTTTTTTTTGGTTTTTCGTTGTTTTTGTTGTTCTTTTTTCTTTCTTTCTTTCTTTTTTTTTTTTTCGAGACAGGGTTTCTCTGTATAGCCCTGCCTGTCCTGGAACTCACTCTGTAGACCAGGCTGGCCTCGAACTCAGAAATCTGCCTGCCTCTGCCTCCCAAGTGCTGGGATTAAAGGCATGCGCCACCACCGCCCGGCCGATATTTATCTTTCAAATATTTATTTATTATGAGTATGGAGATTCGTTTTTGAGTAAGTAAAACAGTAGCCATTTTTCTTTTTTTTTTTTTTTTTATTTTTTTTTCTTTTTTTTTTTTTTTTTTTTATTTATTTATTACGTATGAATACACTGTAGCTGTCTTCAGACACACCAGAAGAGGGCATCAGATCTCATTACAGATGGTTGTGAGCCACCATGTGGTTGCTGGGATTTGAACTCAGGACCTCTGGAAGTGCAGTCAGCGCTCTTAACCACTGAGCCATCTCTCCAGCCCCAGTAGCCATTTTTCTAACGAGCAGGATATGCACTCTCTGGTACACGTTTAAAACAGTTTAAAATTTTCTACACAAAGTAGTTGTAATGCTGGTTTTTAACCTACAGCTTCACACATGCTAGGCAACCTATCACTGATCTATTTCCCCAGACGAGTGTGTGTGTGTGTGTGTGTGTTCATGACAATGTATTCACATCTGTGTGTGAGTAGGTGTTCAAATGGGTGAGCATGTATATGGAAGCCAGAGAACATCCTTGTATGTCAGCCCTTCCCTCTCTGACTCACTCTATCTTTCCTTAATTCTACAAAAGGAAGTGCACAGGGTCTTTACTACATCTGTACAAAGTCTGTGGGTGGTCTGGAAAGCCCACCATCAGGGTTATGGGCCTGGATTTGGTCCTAGATTTTAGCCTGGAGATCAAGCCCAGGCCTCACACATGCTAGGCAAATGCTCTACCACTGAGCTACTGTGTAATGGTTTTTCTAATGACAGACATTTAATCTTGTTCATAGCAATTTATTTTCATGGTTAGTTGCAAGGCCCCTTAAAAATCTGTGATGATACATATTTTTTAAATGTAAGTGATACTGTTACATCCTTATACAAATAAAGTTTATGGGGAAGCTTATAGCCCAGATCTGACATGATGAAATAAACTCTGGGCTACAGTGTGAGACTCTGTCTCATAAAGAAAAAGAATAGAAAACAACTAGAGGATGCAGGAATGGTAAAGGGGGTTGAGTGATCCTCAGATAACCAAACAAACTATGTTTCCTCAGATGAACCGCACAGCCCTGCACTTTGCCGTGGGGAGGAATAATTTATCTGCAGTGGATTTCTTACTGAGTCACAAAGCCAGGGTGGATGTTGCTGACAAGGTAAGCATCTTCAGTGGGTAGACTGAAACGGAGGATTCATCACTGCACATGTCTCCGCCTCGTGGGCACACTTCCATCGGCGTGTGCACTGTTGGAAAGGTCTCCAGAGAAGCTATGCGCTATGTGCTCTTCTTAACACTCAGTAACTAATTGTTCACTCATGACCTTTCAGACGTGGTTTTTTACTTCTTTTCCCGTATTGATCTTATGGCACTAACTTTCATTAAGAAAGTAGTATGATTGCCCACATTATGGTTGGATTTGTGAAAGATGGAAGCTAGTCAGTTCCACGACCCTTATACCATGAATTTGCCGTCGACTCTGAATCTAAATGAAAAGCATCAAAACCTTGTTCTGAGCCAGGCACGGGTACCAGTTGGGGTATTTTACGCCGTCTCCCTTCTAATCCTATGAAAAAATAGGATGGTAGACTATCCAATTTATAGATAAGGAGACTCAAATATGGAGCAATTAAAGGTCACGTCCCTCAAAGTTAACTTTTATGGTTCCATGGGAGTAAATATTTGTGAGATAAGAGGCATCAGTTTACACCAGTTAGTCATCCTACTGGCTTTGCCGGCAATCATAGACAAAGTATAGATTTAACAATTCCAGGAATCTTTCTTTGTGTCGCTAATGAGGCCAGATCTCTCTAGTTTATTGTCATAGCAAGTAGATTGTTATGTAACAACCCAGAATGAAAAATTACCACTGACTGCACTCTTACTTTCTGAGTGTAACTAATCGTATAACAGCCATGAATTACTGGGGAGGGGTGTGGCTACTGATTGTTCAATGGTAAGCCTGCCATTGCTGAGCTCTCCCAACCTTAAAACGAAACAAAATAAACAATGAGGCAAGGCCTCATTAAGTTGCTCAGACTGGTCTTGAACTCATTGTGTAATCCAGGCAAGCCTTGAACTTGTGATGTCAGGCATCCAAGTAGCTGACTTTACTAGCCCTCCACATCCTCGTCATGGCTGTGGAAATTAAGGTAGAAGTTTGTCATGGGCCTGCCAGATACTTCATTGCATTTCATAACAACCACTACCTTTAAAATGTAGAGCACAGGGCCATGTGTGGAGTACATTCTGAAGTACAGCTCAGAAGTAGTATGATTAGAATGCATAAGGACCCGAAGCAGTCTCCAGCATCAGATGAACAGAGACACAAAGACACAAAGAGAGAATGAGATACACCACACAGAGAAAGAGAGAGAGAGAGAGAGAGAGAGAGAGAGAGAGAGAGAGAGAAAGAGAAAAGGAGGGAGGGAGGGGGAGAGAGAGAGAGAGAGAGAGAGAGAGAGAACCAACAACAAGCAGAAGCCTTTGCATTCAAAGCTGGCCCGCCTCGGCTACCACCGATTTCTGCGGTTTTACCTTCTTGAGACTTATTTTTTTTAGATAGGGCCTGACATCTGTGTGAAAACATATGACATATAATCTTTGAGGCTGGCTTCTGTCACTCATCAAAGCACTGAGCACCTCACCTCCAGCCCCACCCCGCTCACACATGCACATCCTTTAACAGGGCAGTCGTTTTGCTCATGGATGTAGCCCAGTTTATCCTTTTACCATTGGAAGGACCAGAGGCTTTTTCCACTTGGCTATTATTGTAAGTAGGTACCAGTGCTGGGAAATGGCCCAGATAGCTATACAATGGCAGATAATGACTAGCACCCACACAAGATGCCAGGCATGACTGTACACACCTATAATGATGATGCTGGGAGCAAGAGTCACAGAGCTGGGTAGATCCTGCCTTCCTTTCCTCCAGCAGAGCCGAAACGTTGAGCTCCAGGTCACTGAGAGACACTATCTAAAGAAATAATGTTGAGAGCAATAAAGAAAAACGCCAGCAATCTACCTTGGACCATAAACATTTATGTATGCTTATGTGCACACAAAGTAAAGCCATTGCAAACACTCTTGCATGGTTTTGCAAGTGTAACTTTTTCCTCTCTTTGGTATATGACACTGCTGGGTCAGTGAGGAGTGTGTATACGAACACCAGCTGTGGACTTGGGAGACCAGGATGTTTCCATCCTCACCAACAGTGCAGGAGGTCAGTTTTGCTTCGCACCTGCATGGTTGCCTGCTATTGCCTGGTTTCCTCTCTCACTTCTGGCCATCCTACTCAGAACATAGGCATCTCCCTGGTTTGAGTTGTGTTTCTTCACTGGCAAATGACATCAAGTGTCTTCTCATCTGTTGCCACTCATGGTCATCATTTGTGACATCTGTGCTGCTGATGGGAACCAGAGCTTTTCACGTATACACAGAGCCTTCTACCACCAACCTCCATCCCCAGCTAGATCTTTTGAACATGTCTAAGAACTGGGCTTGATTATTCTTTTATTTTCTTTTAAAGTATTCTCTCATTGTGACATTTTAAGTATTTGTTACATACTCTGAGAACAGGTCCAATGTTAGATGGGATTTTTTGTTTTGTTTTGTTTTGTTTTGTTTTGTTTTGTTTTGTTTTTCGAGACAGGGTTTCTCTTTATAGCCCGGGCTGTCCTGGAACTCACTCTGTAGACCAGGCTGGCCTTGAACTCAGAAATCCTCCTGCCTCTGCCTCCCAAGTGCTGGGATTAAAGCCATGCGCCACCATTGCCCGGCTAGTTGGGATTTTTATCATATCTGCAGACTCCCTTCTCAGTGCTCACAGAGCAGAAGTTTTTAATTTCAATGAAGTAAAAAAATTGGCGTTTGTTTTGTTTTGAGACATCATATGATGCTGGCTGACCTGGACCTCACTATGTAGCCCAGGCTGGCCTTCACACAGAGCCCCTCTTACCTCTCTCTATTTTTTGAATGGTGGGAATTCAAGCAGAAAACAACTTGAGTTTCTGAAACTGCAAACTCCTATTAGAGCCATCATTCCTAAATAGTAAATCACCACGTACAGATGTACGTTTCTCCCAGAGGACCCTCCATGTCATGAAGTCTTTTGCTGTGGAGTTGGCAAGCTCAAAACCATGACATGGGTGACATTTGGTCATGTGCCACCATGCCTGGCTTACTGTTCCTATTTTTTAAAAGGAGTCCTGATAGTGATATTATGCATATGTAGGGATGATTTGCCTAGCCATGGCGAGTTTCTCATAGTTTTCTTCTAAACATTTTATAGTCTTGTGTTTCCATTTAGTTCTGGTGTTGCTATGGTTTCAGCATGTTCTCTGTAGTTCATGGAGCAGAAACAGTGCCTGGAGCCACAGCACTGAGCAATGAGATCTTTCAGAGATGAGTAGCTCATGGCACTGTGCCCTCATTGAATAGATTAATATTTTCTCAAGGCAGGGTTCCTGATAAGGTGAGTTCCCCACCCCGTGTTATAACGCAGTTCATCAAATAGGCTTCTAAGCCTTCAGACCCAGGAACCTGTTCTGTTCTTCCTGTTAATTACCTGGCTTGTTATCACGGCTCATTACAGCTACGTAAAACAGATTAGGACGGACGAGTTCCATCTTGAGCTGATTTTAGTCTAGAGCAGGAATTGGTTGAGATGGCGTGCTGCTTGTTGCACAAGGACGGCCAGGTTGTTACAACTTTTGAAACTTCAGTTTCCAAAAGTTTTCCAGTGCAGTTCAGATTTGTCCCCAGAGCCAATCTGAGCCTAGACCATAGTCTTCACCAGAGTTCAGTTCCCCAAGCTGTTGTCACAGTGTTAAGAGTCAATCCACATGGGCTCATGGCACAGTCTAGAAGTGTACACACAACCTCCTTCTTGTCCACAATTCTGTGTCCTCTACACACACCTTCTGTGCCCTCCTACACATACACCATGCCCACATTCCCTAAGCTGCCAGGGACAAAGAGAGCAGCAAGGGGAGACTCTGCCACCTTCTCCTCCTCAGTGGCTTCCTTCTGTCCCTTCTTGTCTATGTTCTGGTCAAAAACTGGAACTACCTCAAGCCTCTAGGAAAACAAAACAGCAGAAACCCTCCCTCAGTATCACTGGTGCTCTTGAGTTTGAGTGACCTTCCTCAGTCTGCCTATTACATTTCGCATTCCAGAATCCTCTGATAGATGGATTTTATCCAGAGACTTCAGCTGCTCTGGGTGGTAGAGACAGGGTGGAAGACACTCTATCTTAGCTGGAATCATACTCTACAGAGCAGAGCTACATGCTGAGACCCTGTCTAGGTAGATAGATAGATATATAGAGAGATAATAAACAGACAGACAGACAGACAGACAGACAGACAACCTAAGGTGGAAAACAATTGAGGAAGACACCTGATGTTGGCTTCTGGCCTCTACATGCAACACTTGCACACACACACACACACACACACACACACACACACACCAAACAAATCCATGATTTAAAAGTATCCCAGATGATTATATTTGATATGGGTATAATACATATACGAGGCATGTGAGACATGGTCCTGGTCCTATGGATCCTGCTGCTGAACTGGGGAGCCAAGGTAAACACTGTAACAGAACAGTACCATTGAAGGCATCAAAGGCCCAGGGTCAGACGCCAGGCCCAACCACGAAGGATTAAGGTGGGTGGCATCCCTGAGCTTCCAGATAAGCTAAATAAAAGGAGGTTCTTAATCCAGGATGGACAACACTCCAGATACTCAGAAGATAAGGATAGACAGTTGTCCGTAGTGCTGCTTCTCTGGAAAGTCCTTGTTCCCAGAGGACATTATCACCTTGACTAGACTGATTATGGGGATAGGTCACCAGCAACTTCCCAGCATTTTATACTTTGAAAAGCATGTGAACCAAGGGTCACCCACGTCATGGGCTCGAGCCTGTCAGCTCCACAGCAGAAGGCTTTGTGGCGTGGAGGGTCCTCTGGGGAAATTGTATGTCTGTACATGGTGATTCATGCCTCTGAGAAATGATGGCTCCTGGAGGAATTTGTGTTTTCAGAAACTCAAGTTGTTTGCTGCTTGGATTCTCGATGTTTAGGTTTTACAATCGGATTTTTAAAAGATTATTTGCTTCAAAATTTGAAACGGTCTCTTAGGGAAAAGAGATTGTCTATTGCTATGTGATTTTACTGCCTGTCCCAAACAGGACCATATGTAAAGCTGGATTTAGATTACTGAATACAGCAGTGGTTGTCATGGGATGCTACATGAACTGGTAAGATTGTCATTAATGCACAAGAAGACCCCATCGGTCATGATAGATCACTGTTCCTTATAAAAGGAAGAGCGCAGAAGTTACTAAGCGTACTGTGTACTGGAATTTTAAATATGACATTCACAAAGTCTCTATGCAGAGTGGCAGCTGAGCTGTAGGTTTGACAGAGCAGGTACATTTACTGCAGGGTTTCCCAGCAGAAAGAAGTGTTAGTTGACGAATTGACATTTGGGATCATACAGTTCCTTGTTGTGGGGCAGCCTTGTGTGTCACAGAGTGTTCAACAGCATGCCTGGCCTCTGCTCTTTAGGTGTCTACATCGCCTCTGACACATGACTGTCAAAAATGTCCCAAGATATTTCTAGCTGTCCCCTGGAAACAAATCCCTCCTGGGCAAGAGGCGCTGATTTAGAATGACACGGTAATAAACTGGGACTTGCTCCTTCACTCTCCCAACCTGAACTCTCTTCAGAATATGAGGACACCTAAACAGAGCTGGGAGCAGACAAAGAAACACCAGGGGGCTTATACACATCACAAATAGGAGAGGCCTACAGACCCTGATTTACTGGCTATGTTTTCAGATATGTGCATCTAACAAGCCTGTGTCCTGGATCAAAACCATCATCATTTGAAGCATAGATGATGCAGTAGAAAGTCTGTACAGAAGACATGGGTTGCTTTTTAATAGGAACAAAGGAAACAGAAAGGGATATATGTGACCTTAAAGATAAGGAACAAGAGAGCTGAGTGTGGCTGAAAGGTTTCTGCAATCCCAGGATTTAGGAGGCTGAGGCTGGAGTGTGGCAAACTCGAGGCCAACCTGCTCTTCCTGGTGAGACCGTGTCTCAAAACCAGAAAAATCTAGAATGTGGAGCTGCAACTGAGCGTTAACTAGCCTGAGCAATATTATAGTTCCTGGCAGTGGTGTGAGTGACTGGACTCTGAGTTAGTTCTGGCTGCTCCAAAAGATCAGGCCTCCTGGTCTCCATGGCTTCTTCAGCACGGGCTGCGTGCCTGGATCAGTTTCTCCTTGCCTCCTGATGTCACCTTCTTGAACTAGCCAGTGTTAACTGTCGGCTATGTGTTTTCTTCCATGTTACTCTCTGGCTGAGCAGTTGAGCGTGCAACTTCCCACAGGTCAGGAAGTTCTGAGATGACCCTCTCAGTCTAACTCCTTTAGACACACGGAGACCTCTGTGGGAGTTTTTGGATAGCTTCTCTGGGAATGGAATCCTTTATAAAAGTATCGTTTCTGTTTTCTTCTCTTGGCACACTCTTCTTTACTCGAGTGGCTTGGCTTAGCTGTCTGAGAAGTATATGTTTACTTCTACACTCTCAGCCCATCCTAACTGCATCGAAATATATCTGTCAATATTTCTATGCACCATCCTGCAGCTATATACCCAGAGGTAGATATAAATACATACATTTGCATATAAGAGGTTTTTGTCTACTTTGTCTATTATAAAAATGAAATTAAGGCCAATAAGACGGTTCAGGGAGTAAAGTTGCTCGCTGTGGAAGCCTGATCCTTGGGTTTGATCCCTGGGCTTCTTTTTTTTGTTGTTGTTGTTTTTGTTTTGTTTTGTTTTTCGAGACAGGATTTCTCTGTGTAGCCCTGGCTGTCCTGGAACTCACTCTGTAGACCAGGCTGGCCTCGAACTCAGAAATCCGCCTGCCTCTGCCTCCCAAGTGCTGGGATTAGCATCTCGAATATTATCGTCTGATCGCTACAGTGTGTCACAGCGTGTGTCTACCACTCCCACATACACAATGCATGCACACATGTACCTCAACAATGGTAATAAGTGAACTTTATATATTATTTTCCATATTTAGCAAAGTTCACAAAGATGTTTTCAAGTTCATTTTATTGATTTAATTCATGACTTATGATAGCATGGCATGATAAAATGATTTCATAATTTATGCAACTTTTCCATGTAGATGATCATATATACCTAGTTTCCAGTTCTCATTGATATAATTGACATCTCTGTGTGTGTATGTGTGTGTGTGTGTAAAACTTTAGGTCCCAGAGGTGGGTGGATGATTATATTTTGATTTGATTTGTTTTTGTTTGTAGAGAAGAGTTTTATTGTAGATGTAAGGGAGAAGGCAGGCAGAGGGAAGCGTCCAGGCTAAACACAGTCAGCAGACTAAACCAGCCCGTGAGAGGAGAGAGGGGGATGGAGAACGAGAGAGGAGCCGAGAGCCAAGAGACCAAGAGCATATTTTGATTTTAAATAGAACTGCCAGTTAGTTTAGACAGTAGTGTTTTTCACTTTTTCTGGTACTGTAGGAAACCACTCTTATCTGTGCACTTGTCTATGGTTTGTCTTTTGTTGTTAATGGTGCTTTGTAAGAACATTTCACATATTAGAGATCCAGTCTTTTTTTTTTTTTAACTAATGATAGGGTTTTGAAAGTATCATTTGTTTAATTGGTTTTTGTTCTATTTTATCTTTTTTAACTCTAGAGAGAGTGCACATTATAGTCTGTATTTTTCCAGTACAGTTAGTTATCTTTGTGCTTGTGCTGTTGTGTATTGTATAATTTTTTTTTTTTTAGTAGACTGTGGTGCTGCATTTCACTTTATTTCCTCAGGTGGAGACCCACTTGAGCTGGTATTACTTATACATCTCCCATAGAATTGCAATATCACTTCTGTTACATATTAAATTGTGTACTTCTTAATTTTTCAGTAATCTAGTATCACCTAGGTTTTCGTTGGCGGAGAGAGAGTGTGGTGATTCATTGAGTAATGGGTTCTCTCTCTACTTCTCTCTTCTTGGGGAAGCATGGCTTGACAGTAATTCACCTTGCAGCCTGGTCTGGAAGCTTCGAGATCATGCTCATGCTAGTGAAAGCGGGGGCAGACCAGAGAGCCAAGAGCCAGGTAGGTATGTGGGTGCTCTGGGGTCTGAGCTCTCACCTCACCAGTGATGGGGCGGGAGGTTCTGGGGTGCTGAGGTAAGTACACTTACTCCTTCATCCTGACTCTACTCAGGAAGGAATGAACGCTCTCCACTTGGCAGCTCAGAACAATAACCTGCACATTGTGGATTACCTCATTCAAGACTTGCATCTGCAGGACCTGAACCAGCCCAATGAGGTGTGCCTGGGTATTCCCTATCAGCTTGGCTTCATCCAGCCTGGGTGGGGTGCTAGAGCAGCAAGCACACACAGGCTTGGACTGTAGCCAGCTCCTATAGACCATAGGGGAGGAGGAAAGTGTTTCTGTTGGCAGTGACCCAGGCTTCTGCATGTGGGGAGAAGAGAAATCAGAGAGACAGCAGCCAAACTCCTTCTCTTTACACTTCCTCATCTTGGCCACGGTTTGAACACCATCCACCTCCATCAGTATTCAAAATGTGTGCCTAAGCTTTATTCTACAGTGCCTGACCCTTTTAGAATATATTTGAACCAACCATGGGCTATAATGTTCTTACTATATTTGTCTAGGTACATTTTTATTTTTTGTAAATGGTTAAGACGACCAGGTTTACCTTATGACTGTGACTTAATGTGCTAGGCACAGAGGAAAGTAACTATTGTGCACCCCTTCAGAGACGGGCCTAGGACCTTGTCTTAGTTTGAGTTTTATTTCTGTGACATGACACCATGACCATGGACATTCTTATAAAGGAAAGCATGTAATTGTGGCTGGCTTACAGTTTTAGGAGTTTAGTCCATTATCTTCATGCTGGGAAACATGGCAGCATACAGGTAGACTTGGTGTTAGAGAAAGAGCTGAGAGTTCTACATCTTGATCTGTAGGCAGCAGAGAGAGACTGTGTGCCCCCACAGAGACTCGATTCCTCCAACAAGGCCACATCTTCTAATAGTGCCACTCCCCATGGGCCAAGCATTCACACACATGAGTCTATGGGGAGATTCCTATTCAAATCCCCACAGGCCTGGCACATACATCACCACAGTGCACTCTTGATTCTTCTGTGGGAGACAGTGGTGAATAGGAAGGGGCAGATAGGCTGATGCGTTCAGAGGCAGAAGCAGGTTTCAGCAGCCATCTCCTCTTCCTCTTCTTCATTTTTTTTTTTTTTTTGAGATGGGAGCTTGCTATAACTGCCCAGGCTGCTCCTGATCCTGCAATCCTCCTGCTTCAGCCTCCAGAGTGCTGGGATTAGGCATGTACCACCAGCTTTTCCTACTTCATGAGTTTCCTGTTTACCATGTCTGCCATCCTGTGGTGCCCTTGTTCCTTCTCCTCCTGTGGCTCTGCTGAGAAGAAGGCTGAGGATCTCAGTGCCAGGTAGAGCCAAAAGTTCACCGAGAGGCCTTAGGTGTGGGGACTACAAGAGAATGAGCCCAGAGGTACACTGGGCTGTATAGGGAAGACTCTCAGAGCTGATTTTTATTCCTATAATAAGGCTGGATTAACAGGAACAGACAAAATATACTGTTTTTCTAAGCTGTCTGAATGTATGGAGCTTGCTGGGGACTGGGGGAGGAAATAGAACTGTTGTCTGCTGGGTACAGAATTTCAGTTCCAAAAGATGAAAAGTGCTATGGAATTGTACAGTGGTGATGCTTGCAGAATGATGTAAAGGTACCTGGTCCAGGTCTGCTGAGATGGTGGAGTGGGTAAAGAGACACTTGCCACCAACCCTTAGATACCTGGAGTTTGATCCTTGGAACCCACGTGGTAGAAGAAGAAAATCAGCTCCCACAAGCCCTCTGACCTGCACCTGTGTCCCATGCCACGTGCACTCTCACACACAGAACAGTGAATGACTAAACCTAGTATCTCTGAGCTATGCACTTACTAATGATCTGAGTGGTACAGTTTATGGTATGAATATTTCACAATGATAAAAAAAAAGTGGACAAAGAAGCCCATTTGGAGGTAGGATTAGGTAGTGATGGCTTTGTCTTATCACTCATATAAAGGTATTTCAGATTCCACAAAACCCACTGTGCAGGCAGGATTACTCTGGCTCAGAGTGTTACCCTTTTGCCTTCTGCCTGGACTCTGCTCACCAGAAAGAGCCTGTGCTTCTAACAGGTTTAGTAAAATCCTTTTTTCTTTGGCTTCGAGATAATTCTAGCAAGAGAATAACTCTGGCAAGAGAAGCTTTACCAGGAAGAGATCTTTAAGACAAAATGGATTTAACTAGGCTTAAGAGAGTTTGGATGGAGTTCGGGGTGTGCCGGACACTGGGGTTTTGGGACATTCTCCTAGCTGTACAGCCCTAAAAGTCACTTTGATGTTACCAGAGGAGAGACATTAGAGCCAGGAGTCGGAGGCTAAGTAGTCTAAATGTTTTCAATCCATATGTCAGCCTCCATCTGTGATTAGAACTAAAGAAATGTTGACGTTGGGAGGGGGGCATAGAAGGGAAGCAGCAAAGGCTGTTTGCATATTGGTTTGAAATGGACATGTTTGGTTACGCTTCTGTCAGCTGAGTATGTTGAGAACGTCTACTGGCCTAACGGAATCTAACCAGGAAGTCTTTGCAAGTCAAAAGCAGCCTCTTGCAGGGAGGGGTGGTAGTAAATGGTGGAAGGGGGATTGAGAAGGCATCTGTTTTCTTGTTCAGGCACCCTTTAGTATCCACAGGAAATTAGGTCCAGGACTCTTCTTGGATGCTAAAATGGGCAGAAGATCAAATCCTTATATAAGATGATGTAGTACTTTACATAACCTACACACAGGCTCTCGAGCCCTTTAAAACATCTCTAGATTTCTGTCAGTACCTGTTTCAACTATAATGCTGGTAATTTATTAAACCATGTGGCTAAGGGAATGACAAAAAAGAAAATGTCTATATGATCAGTAGATACAGGATTTTTCCCCTGAATATTCTGCACTGTGAGTAGTTTTGTTTACCCATGGATACATGGGCCAAATGTATCTGGGATGGTGTTTATCCAAAGCTATCAACCGTACTGTGTAAAGAAAACTCACCCAGCCGGCATCCGTGCCCCACCCCTACGCCTTGCATCTGAGCTACACCTCCAGCTCTGAGCACTCATGACCTCCTAGCACACGTTTCTTGCCCTGCTTCACTGTTGGTTTCCCCTTAAGCTAGTTGTGCTTTCCATCAAGAGAAATGCTGTGGGGTGTGGATGTAGACAGAAACACCATGGAGCAGTGTCCCAAGGATTCCACGGTAAAGGATGAGTCTGGTGGGACCTCGAATGCCAGCTTAATGGCTGTTTTGACATTTTTGTTGCATTTGGTGACCTTACTAAACTTGAAACATAAAATAATTTATAATAGATTATTTCAACTTCTCGGACTTGTTTACATGCAAAAAATGTAAATGCATCAAGTTAAAACATAGATGGTTAAAAATATGAGCAAAAGGAAAAACAACAAGGAGCTAGAACTCTGGAATCTCCTCATTCTAGTTAAATGAAGGCCCAGGATCCTGGGCCAGGAGGCCTAGAGATCTGCTCCAGGCGTGAGGCCCTGGGTCAGACATTTTTCTTGGACTTGTCTGGAAAGTTTTCCTGTCTTTTCAATATAGGAGATCCCCTGAGACTGCACTGGATAGAAGCCCGCTAGAACATAATTCAAATGGGTTGGGTTGTTTCTTTAAAAAATGAAATGACATGATAAGGAACTTTATTTTCAAAAATACATATGGCTCTGAAATTCCTGTTGCTATTTTTGCCTAATCATATGTACCTCCGCGAAGAACAAAGATTTATATCTTATTATTTACATTGTACTGTCATTTCGTCTTTCTTTAAGGTGCTTTTAGAATTTAAAAGACAAAGATTATGTGGAACGTTCTGTTTTGTGTAACATGGCCTTTACTTTTTTTTTTTTTCTCTTGGTAACATCCATAAAGGGCATCCAAAGTTCGAAGACATAGCTCTTCTGTTGGAAAGCAAGCTAACTGCCTCATCTGTGCTAACTCAGTCTCTCCTGGAACACCTCTCACGTCTTAGGCCTTTTTGGGGTGTGGATTGTGTGTCACTTTGTTGAGCTATATAAAAATGTAAAACTTTGCAGCAACCCAGGGTAAAAAGAGATGGACTATTTTAAAATTGAACAGACCTCTAATCCTTCTAGAGAAGTGTTTGTCCTTGCTCGGGCTTAAAGGTAATTAGTTGCTTCAGTCTTGCAGGAGTTTAATCCCCAGAGTCATGCGCTAATGACATTAAGCTAACGATGGTGTTACAAGGTGGGGCCTCTGGGCCCCATCAGGATAGAAACGGCCATCAGGGTAGAAACTCAATGATTGAAATCTGATAGGTTTATTATGAGAGGGAGAGACAACACACATCCTCTGACTCTTGCTTTGTGACTCTTACAAAGTTTCAGGAGTCTGCAAGCAAGAAGGCCTTTCTCAGATGTGGACCTATACCTTGCCCTTCTAGAACCATGAGCCAAATGAACTTCTTTAATTTTATAAAGTAGCCTACCTTTGGTATAGTAATGAAAAAGAACCCCCACACACACACATATTCATATATTAGAATTATATTCCCCAAACTGATAAATATATTATAGATATTATAAACATATTAGAATTCTCTCTGTTACAAGTAACAAAAATCCATCCTAATCTGGGCTGAGAATAACAAAGATAACTTGATGAATTATAAATGAGGTCTCGAGGTGTGTCTTGCTGTTTTCAGACATGGTGGGTCCAGCTTTTTTCTATTTCTGCAGCTATTGGCTGTCACTCAGAGCCTCGAGTCCTCCCTGTGCTCCGTGTTCTGGGTATGGTGAGAGGATCTATTCACAGATTCCAGTTTCTACCCTTATGGATTTTGACCCAAAGACAAAAAATCTTTTCCTATCAAAGCTCGAACACAAGTGTCACAAGCAATTTCGTTTGATCCTGTTTGAATCAGATGCTCAGTTCTGAACCAGTCACCATGACCAACATGAGTCATGTGATCACTTTACAGGACAGGAGGCATCAGGAAAAGCCTAGCAGTTGGCAGCACTGAACTCAGTAAACAGCATAATATGAAAAGACGTGATGGCCAGTGAGCTGTGGTTCCTCCAGCCAGATAGATGGCGCCAAATGAGCCCTATGATAATGTTATAGACCAGAAACCTAAGATCTAGTGTATTGATCCTCAACCTTCCTAAGGCTGCGACCCTTTAACACAGTTCCTCATGTTGTGGTGACCTCCGACCACAAAATTATTTTGTTGCTACATCATAACTGTGATTTTGCCTATGTTATGAATTGTAATGCAAATATTTTGGGAGAGAGAGGTTTGCCAAAGGGATAGTGTCCCGTAGGTTGATAACCACTGCTTTTCTTAGACCTGGGGATAAAGTTTTCTTGGTAACATACATGAAGCCCTGGGTCAGGCTCCAGCAGTAGAAACATAAAGTCCACTAAGCAAAGGCACTGGAGATTATAATCTTCCTTGTCAACTTGATTAGATCAAGAGACACCTAGGAGAGAAGGCATTTCTAGGGATGATTAGATCTCCAAGGCTCCAGAGCTATTCACTGGTTTAATCTGTTGATGATGGATTCGGAATTTGAATAAAACAGTGGGAGACCAGTGAGAAGTGGGTCAGTGGGGGTGTGCCTTCGAAGGTGTGCCTTGGTCCTCGGTTTTGTTTGTTTGTTTGTCTTTGCTTCCTGGCTGCCGTGCGTGACTTGCCCATGGCACATCCTTTTTCCGAGACATTTCTATCTTGTCACAGCCTACAGGCCATAGAGCCAGCCAACAGTGGACTGAAACTTCTACACCCATGGGCCAAAATAAACCTTCTCTTCCTTAAAACTTCTGTCAAATATTTATCACAATTTTTTTTTTAATTTATTGTCTCATGTAGGTCCAAGTGGCTTCGGTTATGTCCAAATCCAGGAGTTAAAGCTCTGTCATCAGTGTTCCTTATCTCTACTTACCAAGAGGCAAAGAGGCATCCTCGCTGATGGCTTTACAATAAATATAGACTACATTAGGAAAATAAATCCCATGGCTGACTCTTACTGGCCTGGTACGGTGGGTGACCAATTCAATCATGCAGTTCTTGGATGAAGAAGCAGGAGGCTTAGAGTCTTAAGAGATACATCAAAATGGTCTAAGGGCGGTGTTCCAGAGGAAAAGATTATGGGCTGACATCAGGTAATAGGTGTTTTTATCTCCTGATACAGTACGTTAGCCACTTTCAAAGGCAGCTTTGTCTCTTCTTGTCTCCCCACAATCACGCTAAGTAGTGCTCCCAGCGCTATCTCTGCTACTACATTACTATATGAACACATGCTTATGTGCCTTTCTTCCCTGCAGGACTCCTCTCTACTGGTCCGCTTGGCTACTCCATTGCTTAGCACAATATCTGTATGCACGCATACACACATACACACACACACACACACACACACACACACACACACACACACGATAAAATTGTTGGTACATGAATAGTGTAGGATGTATGATATTTCGGTGGTTTGAATAAGAATGACCCCAGTAAGCTCATAGATTTGGATGCTTGGCCACCATGGATTGGTTGGCATCATTAGGAGGTAAGGCCTTGTTGGAGTAGGTGTGTCCTCACTGAAGTGAGTGTGTTGCTCAGTGTGAGTTTTGGGGTTTCAAAGGCTTTAGCCTAGTCCAGTGTCTGGCTCTTCTTGCTTCCTGACTATGCGGATGTAGAACTCTCAGTCTTCTCCAGCACTATGTCTGCCTTTGTCCTGCCATATTTCCTGCCAAGCTTCCCACCATAATACTAACGTACTAAACCTCTGAACTGTAAGCAAACCCCATGGTTTGCTTTTATAAAAGTTGCCATGGTCATGGCGTCTCTTCACAGCAATAGAACTAAGACATCCTTTTCATCTAGCATGTAATCAATGTCTCGTGTTACTCCTTTCATGATTTATGTGCTGCTCAGGCTTATTCTCACTATGACATACACACCCAAAAGGACAGTGTAAAAGGAGGAAAGCTTTATCATAGCTCATGTTTTCAGAGATTTTATTCGTCATGTCAGGGAGTATGTGGCTTCCCCACTGTGGCCAGGGAGGACAGCTGAGCGTAGTAGGACAGGTCCCAAGAACAGGTCCTCAGTGATGAGCAGCCTTCAACCAGACCTTCCACAGTTGTGTCCAATGATCTATTCCAAATTTGAATCCATCAATGAATTAAACCATTCATTAGGTCAAAGCCCTCAGTCTCAAATCCCGCCTGGAGACACCATCACAGACACCCCTATAGGTGTGTGTTCCTCACACCCTAGCCACCTCACAATCCGACCAAGCTGAAAACAAGATTAACCCCTGCATGTTGTTTATATGGCTCTTTATGTGCTGATGCCATTTGTGGATATTTGTTGTAAGTTGTATCTAGTAACTATCAGTCTGTCATTTTCAAATGGACTAGATTTTGTCCATCAGCCATAACCCAACTTGCAAGCAGAAAACTGTGGCTCCAACCAATCTGTTCCTTCCCTTTCCCCATCTGTGGTTTCCTGAGAAAAAGGAAAGCACCTAGCCTTCAAGCTTTGAAGGGCTGGAGCTATAGGTCTCGTGGACGATATATGTGGCCTAAGAACTATGAATTATGTGAACTATTTGGTGCTCGTTTCTTTCCCCAGTTTCTGTACATTCATGGACACAGATCTCCACAGGACTGATCTGAGCAGATGTTCTCCATTTGGTTTTACGCACTGGACTATTTTAGCCTGTTTCTCTTCCTTATAAGAAGCAATCAGTGGTCTTGATCTTTTTGTTAAACACTATTAGCTAGCGATTCGCTGACAGATTCAGAATGCTATTTATGGAATCTTGTATACTCCTTACATTAAAGACATCTTGCTAAGCTCTTGGTTAGCACACTAAGCCAAGCCGAGTTTTTCTTTTCTTTCTTTCTTTTTTTTTAGTTGAAGAAAATTCATCTTAGGCAGTTTTGTCACCCAGTTTCCTTTTCCATTTTTTCAAAAATAGCTTGAGTTGAAAAATTAAGTTTTCTGTGCATCTTTCATTTTTCTTGATGATATTTTGACTACTGCAAACGCAGTCTCTGTCACCAACAGGAAAACTGGGAGAAATCACTATTACTCAAACAGTCTCTATTTAAAGAAGCAGATACAAGCACCTGTTTTCCCTGGAGTTGCAGGATGTTCCTGATTTTTTTTTTCCTTTCCGTGTCTAATAGACCCACACTCAGGAGCTTTCTGAGTGCATCTACTGCTTCTTAGAAACAGCATCCGGTGAATATGGCCTCAGATTTGATTGCATAGGGGCTGGAGAGATGGCTCAGTGGTTAAGAACACTTGCTGCTCTTGCAGAGGACCCAGGTTCAGTTCTTAGCACCAACATGGAGGCTCACAAACTGTTTTCAACTCTAGATTCAGGGGATCCAGTGGCTTCTTCTGGCCTCTGAGAGCACCATGCACGTACATGGTACACATATATTCACTCAGGTTTGTGTATATACCTTAACTAAGGATAAATACATCTTGAAAAATAAAGTGAAATTCAGTTAACCAAATATATCTGAATGAGCTTCATGTGTGTTAAGAACTGAAGAATTTCCGTGTCATGCATTTTTATCGGTAAGATAGTGTGATGCTCAGATGCTTCAAACAGGGTGTGGCACAAGCTAATTTCTCAGTTACTGGTTGAGTGGAAGTGCTGACCCATTCAGGAGTCCTTGCTACATTTGAAAAGACGTCCGATCGTCAGACTGGGGTGCAGTGCTGCTCCAGTGCTCTGCAGGTCCTCTTCTGAGCACGTGTGTCCACAGAACTGATTCACTGTTGGTGTGGGGTTTCTTATAGTTCTGATGACAACCCAGACTGGGTGTGGCTTGGGTTCAGAGAAGTGATCACTCCCTTCCCGTGAGAAGGGTTCAGAATGGTATGACCATCCTAGACACCCCATCACTTAAAATGCTGCTCGCTGCTTGTCAGTTCTCCCAATTGTCTGCTAAGTATGTGATCAATGTAGAATCCACGATTGACTTTCAGAGAGGAAGAAAACCATTCCTTTTGGCAGCCGAGAGGGGCCACGTTGAAATGATTGAAAAGCTTATCTTCCTTAATCTCCATACTTCAGAAAAAGACAAGGTGAGTTGGACTTAGATTTTTTTTTTTAACTGAGGACAAAGAAGAGTTACAGTTGGTGTGGGGGATTAATAACCAGTGTGCAGATTCCATGACAGGTTATTTCTGGTCCACAGTAGAGTTCTTAAATTGTTACTACCAAGAGAATCGTGGTAAAATGCATTCACTTTTGCTATAGCTTGTCATGATTGGTGGGTGGGGTTTTGTTTGGAGACAGGGCCTATCTATGACAGAGCTTCTCAACTTTCCTAATGCTCTGACCCTTTACTACAGTTCCTCATGTGGTGATCCCCAACCATAGAATTATTTTTGTTGTTGCTCCCTATCTGTAGCTGTGTTACTATTTTGAATTGTGATGTAACTAGCTCATATGCAGGCTATCTGACAGAAGCACTGTAACTGTAACCAAAGAAAAAGCTTCCAGAAGCTACACTGTGCCCCAGTGTTGGGGAGGGGTGTTCCTCAGCACAGGCAGTTTCACCTGGAATGCATCTCTGTTGCAGGACGGGAACACAGCCTTGCACCTGGCTGCGATGCATGGCCATAGTCCAGCGGTGCAAGCGCTGCTAACTCAGTGGTCGGAAGTAAACGAGTGCAATGAGGTACGTGGTCTGTGCGTTGCTGCTGGCCTAGGACTTAAGGGGCAGGACAGGAGGGGTTTTCTAGAAAAGGACAGGAAATCAAAGGCATGCCACTGGTATGCTGAAGAGTCTTGTTTTTTTGTTTTTTGTTTTGTTTTTTTTTCCTTTCAAGCATTCTTGGACAGGGCATTTGTTGATTCCCTCAAAAGCCATTTGCAAGAATAAGGGGGGAGGGATGACACCAAAGAACACTGTCTTCCAGACACACAGGAGACTGTGACAGCACTCACAGGGCCTGCACAGGCTCAAGACAGATGAGGTCCCAGCGAGGGAGAAGTATGCACAAGCTCCCAGCTCTAACCAAGAGGCTGTCTCCAACTGACAACTGCTTGCAAAGGAAAACTTAGTTGTCTCCTATGGAGTCTCACAGAATACAAAACCACACTTAAGGGTAGATCCCACTCTCAGCAGTAGATGACCAACACAAAACAGCTCTGGTTTTTTTGTTTGTTTGTTTGTTTGGTTGGTTGGTTGGTTGGTTGGTTTGGTTTGGTTTTAAATGAAATCTCAGTCATTCATTTTTACCAAAGATGACTCAGGAGCCAGGAGGTAAAAGCCTGCTAGCTCAGAGAGGCAGAGAAAGCACTCAGCTGATCTTCCTCTTCAGCCAATGTCCCAAAAGCAAAGCTCTCCTTATTCACACTGTCTCCCAAACCCCTCCAACTGGCTGTCTCTCCTTTCTACTTCCTGGACATCTCTTTGTGCATCTTCCTAACTTCCTCTTACTCTCAGTCTTTTTCCCTTTGTTTCCACAACTGGTTGCTTGTTCCGCCTCTTGATCTCTGCTTGACTTTATTTAATCCTGTTTACAACAAACAGAAAGCTCTTGGACTAAAGAGCTTTAAAGATTGTGTGCTAAGCCTGAGCCACATCAAGATTAGAAATAAGTTTTTCCAGTAAACAACACAATCTCCAGTTTCACTGTGTGATCAAGTAAACTGTAACAGAACTCATGATTTTTTTGTCTCATGTGGCTTTGTTTGAATATTTTTTTTGTCTGAGTGCTTTTTGCTTGTATATTATGGTTTCAGATTTTTGTGGTTTAATGGGTTTTGTTTATGTGTGTGTTTCTTTGGTTTTTGTTTTTAAAATTCTGGTTTTTGTTTGTTTGCCTGTTCCTTTTCTAAAGGGAGAGGCGGGAGGGGGGGGAGAGAGAGAGAGAGAGAGAGACAGAGAGAGAGAGAGAGAGAGAGAGAGAGAGAGAGAGAGAGAGAGAGA